TTAAAGTAGGATTTTTTTTTATTCATCCAAAACTTATCTCTTTCAAGTTTCAAGTAGAGAGACTTCTCTCTCTAATGTTCTAATGAGTAAGGTTATATTCTCCCAACCCCCTACACACACATACACACACACACACACACACACACACACTCACTCACACCCCTCTACCACCCACATACACCCACTCATAACAACTTCTTAGTTTTATACACTTTACTCTTATCCTCTGCCTTGCCTACCTCAAGGGGCCTACATATTCAGGCCTCTTGGAGGTGGGGCTACCCTGGGAAGAGAAAACTTCCCCTTCCCAAAATGAAGGACCTATACCCTCCCTGCCTAGGTGCTTAGAGTTGTGATTTCCCGGAATCCTTAGATCTGGGACTGAATTTTCAGAGGCCACTCCCCGCCCTTAATTCAGCAGGGCATCTTCCTTCCCCAGTTATGAACCACCCCACCCTGGCATCAAGTATCCAAAAGTGAAGCTTCCCTCCTGCTCAGGGGCTGAAGCTGAGCAGGTGAGAGGCATCAAAGACAAAGGGGGCTGCAGCCACCTTCAGTCTGTACACCCATGGGATCTGGGTAAAGAACGCCTCAGACCAGGGGCTGGGAGTATCAGTGGTGTCACTTTCCAAGTTAGAAATAAAAACCAGCTTGGAGTGCTGCAAGGCCAGCTGCCCCTTGGGATGGGCCTGCCAGGCACTGAGGCAGGGGTCTTCAAGCTATCAGATCTCCTCTGTCTCTAGACAGCTGCTTAACCCAGTAGGTGAGGGTATAATTGCACTCTTGACATCGCTGGCCAAGGTTCTGAATGTGATCATGGCTCATAGGACCATAGAGCTAGACCTATAAGAGAATTTAGAGGCTAGGGAATCCAGCTTTTTCATTTTAAGCATGAGGAAATGAGGGGCCATAAAAGTTGTGACTTACCCAGGGTCATATATCTGTTAAGTAGCAAATCCAGGACTGAAGCGCAGGATCTCTGACTGCAATTCCAACACTTCAGCAAGGAAGTGCAATGGGCCTGGAGTCAGGAAGATCTGAGTTCAAATCAGCCTCAGACACTTACCAACTGTACGACCCTGGACAAGTCACTTAACCTCTGCCTGCCTCAGTTTTCTCAAGTGTACAATGAGGTTAATAATAGCACTCACATCATAGGGTTGTTGTGCGGATCAAATATACATTTAGTACATAGTTCTGTGAATGTTGTCTCCACCCTCTTTGAGAAAGGGAAAAAAAATTTCACCTTTCTTTGTATCTCCAGCACTTAGCACAGTGTCTGGCAAATATTAGGTGCTTAACAAATGCTTGTTTCCTTCCTACCATCCTTCCTTTCTCCCTCCCTCCTTTCCTTCCTGCCTTCCTTCCTTTCTCCCTCTCTCCCATTCATCCTTCTTTCCTCCCTCCCATCCATCCTGCCTTCCTTCCTCTCTCCCTACTTCCCTCCCATACTTCCTTCTTTTGCTGTGTTCAACAGCTATAGCCTATACCCATGTGTTTGCATATACAGAATCATATAAGGTCAGATCTAAAATGAACTATGGAGATCATCTATTCCAACCCATTAATTCTACAAATAAAGAAACTGAGGCTCAGAAAGAGGAAGTAATTTGTCCACAGCTAGTAGTAGACATAGGACTAGAACCCAGGTCTCCTACCTTATATCTTTTCCTACTGTATTTGCAGATGTGTTTCCTTTAGCAGACCAGGTAGGAACCTGGGGATAGGTTGATGCCAGCTCATCCCACTAATGGAAAAATAACTCTAAATCGATGTCCCTACTATTATTGAATTGGTGGCATCATCTTCATATACTAAGGATGGCATTTATTTTTGTATTTTTTTTATTTCTCTCCCATTCTTGTCTAATCATCAGAAAATTATACAGTACCTTTTTTCAGACACTCTAAGCTCAATATAGCATGAGCAAATTAGACTCAGGCCCCTGCCCACTGTGTCAGACACATCAAGCAGGTGAGTGGGTCAAGGGCATTCAAGCATAATTAAACAAATGGTGAAATACACAAACCAGGCCGGGCAGAAAGCTCCCTCCTAGGACCCACACGCGGCTGCTGCTCATTTTCCCCAAGAATGTAGACACTTTGAGGGAAGGGACTGTCCCACTTTTGTCCATGTCTCTCCAGTGCCTAACACAGATCCTGGAACATAATAGGTGACTAATAAATGCTTATGTATTAAGTGACAGACTGATGGAAGTTTTACATTATTACGTTCATGTTAAGGGTTAAGTGTAGTTCAGGTTGGAAAGCTAATTACCAGACTAAGCACCTCCCACTTCCTGATTGGAAAGAGCCAAGGATATTGGTCACTTCTGCTCTTGACAGTCTGAGAAGTCTTCATAGAGGAGGTGGGATTTCAGAGTCTATTTGAGCGATATAAGGGAAATGGCTTGGATGAGCCAGCACAACCCCATCCTTTCTCTCTATCCTTTCTCTCTTAAGGAGTTGAAAATAGCTCCATGCAGGATACATAAGACTTGTTACGTAGAGCAACTTTATTCCCAGTGAGGAATGCCATCCTCAAATGAAAGGTTCCATCTCTCAATGCAATTCAAAGCAGCAAACGTTTTAAGTCCCTATTATGTGTCGGACACTGTGATCTCTTCCCAGTCTGAGAAGGAATCGGGGAAAAGTCGCACCCCCAAAGCACCCCTCAGTTGAGCCTATATTTGTCACTCTCCCCTTCAGTGTGTGCTTTCTTCCTCTTCTTTCACTTTCCATGGGGCATTGGGAATGCTCTGTCCCCTCCCGGAGTCACTGGGTTGTATTCATGCCAATTCATTAGTGGGGATAGAGTTTGTAGGTGACAGCTCAGTGGGTCTGATGCATAGGCCAGGGAATTAGTCCTTTTCCATTAGGCAGGTGGCTGTGGCAGGTGAACTCTTCAGAGACTGAAGTGTAAGAAATAACAGATCATGTGTGAGGGATAGGTGGGAGGGAGGTGAAGGGCTGGGTGTGGCAGAGTGTCTAGGGAAAGGTGGATGTGTGAGGCCGTGGGTGTTGGTAGAGACTTCCAGAGGGGAGTAGAGGGGTGTATGGGTAGAGCCGTGCATGTGGGTCTGCTCAGAAAAATGTGTCTGCGTGTGTGTCTTTTGGATGGTGGGTGGCTATGTGTCTGGGAGAGCTCCTTTCAGGTCAGGCTACAAGGAGTAAAGAATAAGATCTGGGCCTGAGCCATGTCTAAGCCAGGTCCCCTGGGCAGTTCTGCAAACACTGATTATAACATCAAATCTCCCCCTCTGAGGGGAGTTGAAAGCAGGGGAAGGGCCCTTGTTTGTTCAGCTGGTTTCTTATTGTGCAATTTTATTAATAAGCCTCAGCCCCACAGGCAGGGAGTCACTCTGGGACCAGCCCCCTAAGACAATTAATTAACAAGCTTCAGACAATTAATTTGGATCTTCTGGGGATTGGAAATACCTAAAAAAAGGAGAAGATATGGCCAGAGGATTTTTTTTTTTTTTTTTTTTTTTTGGAAACTGACTACTTCCTAAGGTCTTGACCAGGAGGACCCACAAGGACTCTAGGCCCCCCAGTTAAACAATTCAGCTGACTTTCTGCCCAGCTTCTCATATATATTCTCCTCTCTTAGAAGCCTCTTCCTCAGCTGCAGAGTACCTGGATGAAGTTACCAACTGTGGGCAGCTTTTCCTTTCATTTCTTTCCCCTTTATTCCCTCCCATCCCATTGCTTAGCACCCCCAAGCCAAGTGAAAAATGATCCAGACCCTCTTCCCAGCCTGAACAAATCCTGAACAGTGTTATTGATACCTTGTGAATGAAGGAAGCAGGTGGAAGGGAAAAGAGATCAGGGGTGATGGGCTTACCACCTTGGCACCTTGTTGACTTCGGGCCCTTTTACTGGCTGTCCCCAGGTCTGGAATGTTCTCTCCTCCCCTCTGTCTCCTGGCTTCTCCCAAGACTCAACTCAAATCCTATCTTTTGCAAGAAGCCTTTCTGAGATCCCCCTTCTGAGATCACTTTTCATTTTCATTCTGTATATTTTATATGCATGATTTTTTTCATGTTGTCTGCCATTAGAATGTAAGCCCCTGGAGGGCAGGGTCTGTGTTTTTGCCTTTGTTTGTATCCCCAGCACTTTAACACAATGCCTGGTCCACCATAGGTGCTTAATGAATGCTTGTTGATTGACTGATTTGGTGCTCAAAGATGTCTCCACTACAGCTATGACTCTAAATCCACCCCCTCAGTCATAGAAGGCTTCCAGACCAGAGCTCCTTGGAGATGCCCCTGCCTTTGCATCACTGGAGGATAGTTCTGAGCATCCCTCCTGGTCCCCTGCAGGACAGCAGGGCTTCCTTTTATCCTGGCTCTACCCTATGACCCTTAAACTTATGGCTCCATCTAAGGAGCAGCCACTTGGAAGAGAGTGAATGTAGAGCCATGGGTGGAATTTTCAAAGAAACACATTTAGGCTTGATCTAAGAACAAACTTCCCAGTCATTAAAGGTGTTCACAAGTGCAGTGGGCTGCCTCAGGAGGAAGTGGGCTCCTCCCTGTTGGTGGAGGTCTTCAAGCCCAGGGTGGCTGGAGATCATAAAGAAGATTCTTGGTCAGGTACAGCTGGGGAGTATTTGGCCTTTGAGATAATCTTGGACTGAGATAATATGATTCTGTGACTCTTAAGCAAAGGAAAGAATGAGAAAGTTGTGTATAATCTGCCAGATGAGACTTTAAAGACTAGAAGGGACAAGTTGGGGAATAATGGAAAATGAAGTTGGTTGGGCAAGATGGGGCCCGATTATGGAGGGCTTGAAAGCCAAGGAGAGCTAGCTGAAGTTGATGTCAACAGCAATAGGGAGGCTCTAGAAGCTGTAGAGCAGTGGAGTAACCTATGTTATTTTACAAAGGAAACAAGCTATTCCCTGGCCAGATGAGCAGCAGAAATCACTTCCTTTTCCATAGCTCCAAGTAGATCTGAGTTGAGTGATTTTTTGCTGATAGCAGTTGGTCTCTTTTCCAGGTAACACCAACAGCATCTTTGCACTGGACTACATCAGTGGGGCGCTAACCCTGAATGGTGTGCTGGACCGGGAAAATCCTCTCTATAGCCATGGCTTCATCCTTACAGTAAAGGTAAGAAGAGCTATTCCGCATCCCGGGGGGACGCTGTGGGAGTCACCTTCCAAATCTAGGGCCAATTGGTGGGGTGAAGGGAACATACTTTACACTACACCCCAGAAAAGTGAACATGTCCTAGGTCCCCTTTGGCTTCTTGGACACTCCATTGGGAGCCTCCTTTCTTGTTTCTAGATAAAAGAAAAGGAGAGACAGGAGAACATAGCAGAAAGAGGCCTGAGCTTTGAGTCTGAAGACTTGGGTCCACATTCTGGCTCTGACGCTTACACTGGCTGTGTGACCATGGGCAAGACATGTCATCTCTCAGAGCCTCAGTTTCCACATCTGTAAAATGGGGAGAATAATACTTGCCCCCGCATGACTGTTGTGCGGAAGGCACAACTGTTTGTGTAACTCTTATTATTCAAGACACTTGATTTCTCTGAGCCTCAGGTTCCTGATCTCTAAAAGAGGGAGCTGGGCTGGAGAACCTCCCATGTTTCTTCTTGCTCTAAATCCCATGATCCTGTTACCAGCCCAGAGGGAATTTGCACCCTGCCCCAACCAGCTCAAGTGAAGGACTCTGGTGGAATTGGGATAGATGGACAGGATGATTGGATTCATGAGAACTTAGGCTTTAAGATGGAATCAGAATGCTAGGTCTGAATCTGATTTCTGTCCCAGAATTACTGTATGGTTTGGGGACATATCAATGAGCCTTTTTTTTTTAATTATCAGAATTGTAATTTCATTGTTGTAAGGAATTCCTGGATCAGAACTCCATCTACCAAAGTAGTCTGCACCTGAGATGTTTCACTTAGTCATTGGAGGCCATCAGACATCAGAGGGGGACACAGCCAGTATGTGCCAGAGGTGGGAGGAGTCAGGAAGACCTGAGTTCTAATCTTACTTGTGTTACTTAGCAGCTGCATGACCTTGGGAAGGTCATTTGACTTGCCTCAGCCTCAGTTTCCTCATGCATAAAACTAGAATGATAATAATAGCATTTACTTCATTGGGGTGTTTTGAGGCTCAAATGAGATAATATATAAAAAAGAGTTTGCACAGCTTAGCGCACTATATATAGTCAAGTCAACAAGTATTTGTTAAGTACTTACTAGGTGCCAAGTTACATAATTATCATTATTACTATTATTTTGCCACATTACTCTCAAGACTTAACTTACTGATTTTTTAAAACTTTAATACAGAAAAATCTATTTGAAATTTATCAAACTTACGTTTTTCCAGTTATAATTTTGCATTATATGAAGCATTTAATACCACGATAGTAAAAGATCTTGAGAAATTGAAATGTGATACACTTTTCTCCAAATATTTTAATTTCCACACATGTTTAAAAATACACATTAAATGCATGTTTCAGACACTCTTAACTTTCTAAAATCTCAGTACCACAAAAGACATAGAATACACTCTACAGATGGGGAAAAATCTAATTCATATATAATACTTTGCTCACCACTTAGAAGTTTATTACATGAAATGCACATATTCACTTTAAAACCCTAACTTCTGAGTCCCAAAATATTTACTGATTTTTTTTAAAAGGAGGAATAATGAGCCAGCTCTACTGTAGCAGAAAAAGTATTAGATTTGAGCCTAGGATACTCAAGTTCAGATTCAGGCTGTGCCACTGGCCGGCTGTGTGACCTCGGTCTCATAACCTCTCTCAGCCTCCAGCTCTTCACCTTTAAAATGAGAGGGGCCGGACTGTGTGATCGCCTGGTCCTTTCTGTTTATACATATGTGAACCTGAAATTGTGACCATTTAAAAAAAAAGTCCTCAGGAAGAGCGATTAAATACCAGCAACAACAATAATAATAACTCACATTTATATGGCGTTTTAAGGTTTGCAAAACGCTGTACAAATATTATCTCATTTGAGAAAAGAAGTCCTGGAGAGTTAAAAGAGAGAGACGCTCTATTAGGGTGACCACAACCTTGGGCTAAGGGTGGTCTGAGAGAGCCAGTGTGACCACAGCTAATCAAGTCCTCCCTTGGACATTGAAAGCCCCTCACAGGCTGGGCCAAGCCTTCTCACGTCTACTCCCCCCACCCCCCGTGATCCACTTCCATTGACCATCTTGCTGATCCTTACTCAGGACCCTCCATCTCTAGACTCCATGAATTTTCACTGACTGACCCCATGCCTGGAATGAGCTCCCTCCTCAGCTATGCCTCCTGCCTGCCCTGGTTTCCTTCAAAATTCTGCTCAAATCCTATCTGCTATAAAACCTACACACACACACACACACACACACACACACACACATCCTATGTGTATATATATGTATATGTCTACATATATATGTACAGAACATATACATATATATGTTGGACGTAACCGAACAACAACAATATGTGATATATATCTCTTATGTATATGTGTGTGTATATGTATATATCTTGTGTGTATGTGTCATATGTATATTCATCTTATATGTGTATGTGTCTTGTGTATATATACATATATACACATTTATACACATGTATATTTAATGTACATATCACATTTATATATGCATATATAAAATGTGTGTATATATGTTTTTTGTTTTCCGTTATGTGTTACTTTCTGTGATTCCATGGACTTCGTTCATGGGGTTTTCTTGGCAAAGATACTCAAGTAGTTTGCCATTTCCTTCTCCAGTGGGTTTTACAGAGGAGGAAAATGAGGCAAACAGAGTCAAGTGACTTGCCCAGGGTCACACAGCTAGTAAGTGTCTAAGGCCAGATTTGAACTCAGGTCTTCCTGACTCCAGGCCCAGCCTCTATCCACTGCACCACCCAGCTGCCCCATGTATATACAATATATGTATATTTATTTTTACTTACATATATAATGTATATATTGTACATGTATATATTACATATGCTATATATCTTCTGTGTATGTATATAATATACATCTTATGTGCATCTTACCTTATGTGTCTCTATGTCTATAACTTGTATGTATACAGCTGTTTGCATGCTGTCTCCCTCATGAGAACATGAGCTCCTTGGAAGCAGGGATTATTTATACCCTTCTTTGCATCCCCAGTACTTAACAGATGTTTGTTGACTGACTAACAGAACAATGGGTCCACACAATTCCTCCCAAGACATCAGTCAGACTTTGTTTGAAGACCTCCAGTGAGGAGGAGCCCTCTGCTTGCCCAGGCATCCCATTTCCCTTCTGGGTAGCTCTAGTTGTTAGGACATATGTTCTTACATGGTGTTTAAATATGTCACTCCTACTCATTGCTCTCTGGGGTCAAACAGAATGAGTCTAATCCCTTTTCCATATCACAAAGGAGGGGGGAAGGGGGGAGGGCAGGGCCGGGGAGGGGGGAACAAACAAGCGTTTACGAAGTGCCTGCTATGGGCCACACACTGTGCTAAGTACATTACAAATGTTATCTCATTTGCTCCTCATAACAACCCTGTGCTATATTATGGTGCTATCGCACCATAAGGTGCTATAATTATGCCCATTTCACAACTGGGGAAACTGAGGCAGATAGAGGTTAAGTGACTTGCCCAGGGTCACACAGCTAGTTAGGGTCTGAGGCAAGATTTAAATTTATATCTTCCAGACTCCGGCCCAGAGTTCTATCTATTTCACCACTAATATTCCAGCCCTCTTTTCTCCAGGCTACACATTCCTAATTCTTTCAACCATACCTCACATGGCATGATCCCAAAGCCCTCTGTTGCCATGGTTGGCTTACCCTGGATGCGCTGTCTGTCCTTAAAAGTGGTGCCCAGAAGAGAACACAACAGTCGAAGTGTGATCCAACCTAGTCAGGGAGCATAGCAAGAGCCGCCTGCCTGCCCAGCCCTTGACTCTAGACCATTTTTAATGGCATCCAAGGTCAGATTGGTGGGGTTTTGGCTGCCATATTGGACTGTTTACTCATATTCAATCCAATTCAACAAATGCGCCTTAAACATCTACTACGTGCCAGCACTGTGCTAGGCACTGGAAATAACAAAGACAAACACAACATACCTCCTACCCTCAGAGAGCTTGCAGTCCACTAAAACACTCAGATATTTTTTCAAAGTGTTATCCACTTTGCCCCATTTCTGTCTCCAAACCCCTCTCAGATAGATGGCACAATGAACAGAACCAAGCTTGGAGTCAAGAAGACCTGAGTTCATATCTGGCCTCTGACACCTACTAGCTGTGCAAGTCATCTAATTTCTGTTTGCCTCAGTTTCCTCATTTGTAGAATGGGACTAATAATAGTACCTGCCTTCCAGGGTTGTTGTAAGAATCAAATGAGATAAAATTGTAAAGTTCTTAATATTTGGCACATAGTAAACAATCTATAAATGTTAGCTATTATTGTTATTATTAATACGCTGTTGCAAGGGGAAGCAATGGACTGAGCCATAACTCAGTCTGGGCAAGGAGGAATGAGATGGCCAGAGGATTGGGGAGCAAAATCTCTTAGGGGCCTTGGTGAGGAGAAGCAGTAAAGTGTAGTGTATAACAGCCCAACCCCCTCCCCACTTACCCAACAACCTGACCTCTGAACACAACCTTCCTTTTAATCAAAATCAATATGGAGCTGGGTGTGTGGCTGGGAAAGCCATTTAGGAGTATGGATCCAGCCCAGGCCACAGGGTCCCAGGAGTTGGTGTGAGAGGGGCCATTGATTGAGGAAAGGGGAGGGGGGAGCAGGCAAAGTCAGGAAGCTCTGGGCTCAGGAAGTGACCGTGTTCTAGCAGGTTGGAACAGACAACCAGTGAAATTACTACACTTAACCTCAGTCAACCAGGCCCTCTGCTAATAGCCAGAAGTCAATAAGACTCCTCTCCTCTCCACTGCCCCTTCTTGCTCTTTCCTTTTCCGTCAGGTTGCCTTAACTATTTAACTCAATGGGGAAAGACGTGTTTGAGTTGTTTGAGGGGGAGCAGAGGCTGAAGAGGAGTGGTGGTTCGAGAAAATAGCACTATTGCAAAAAATCTCTGTGCAAGGGTCGATTGATACATGTCCTTGCCCTACATTGCATTGTTCTCCATTAGATAATCTTTCCTTGGAGTCCAACTCTGCCTCTCATGCACTTTTTCCTGTCCTATAGTCTCTGAGACTATATGACAGGATTCTTTCATTACTCCCTGATGCCAGCGCACTTACGGTGATTAGCATAGTACCTTGACTATAGTAGACATTCATTGAATGGTGGATTGCTGACAAATCTGTGCCTCAGTTTCCCCATCTCTAATTTTGGATAGGGCCCCTTCCTTGATCTCAAATGGGTCCTTACACATGTCCTTTCCTCCTTCTTTCTCTCTTCCCTCCCTCCCTTTTTCCCCATTCTTCCTTTGTCTCCTCATAGCTAAAATGTATTTTCTTTGGCACCCAGGGCACAGAGCTGTATGATGACCGAACCCCATCAGATGCGTCCTGCATTACCACCTTCAACATCCTTGTCATTGACATCAACGACAATGCCCCTGAGTTCAACAGCTCCGAGTACAGTGTGGCCATCACTGAACTGGCCCAAGTGGGCTTTGCCCTTCCCCTCTTCATCCAGGTGGTGGACAAGGATGAGGTGAGTCCCATGGAGCAGATACTAGCCATCCCCCAAGATATCCACGTAAGCCATTTTGCTTGGAGCCTTTAACCACCATTGCATTGTATGGGACCGTGAGTGGGTTATTGGCCATTTCTGGTGTTAACGTTCCCCATAAATAAAGGAGGGATGCCAGTAGGAAGATAAACACAACCACAGATATGCAACTTTTAGAAGAAATGCTCTCCCTAAATTACAAGGGTATTATCATAACTTTACCACCTTCTCTGTTGGAAGAATGCAAAATACTATGAAAAGAGGAGACTTTTATTTGCTTCTAAAATGCTTGGGAAGTAGTGGGCAGACATTAAGAAGGCTCTGCTTGGGGTCTGAACCCAAAGGGCCTAGCCCTTGTTTAACCCAGCTTCCCAGGACCCGGGGGTGGAGGTGGGGAGGTGGAAAAAGCTACAAGCAGAGTTACCTTCATTTGGTTCAGGCAACTGAAGAACAAGGCTATGCCCAGCTCAGATTATAACCATTGTGCCCACTTTCCTTACCTTCAGGTTGAGCCTGTGGTACCAGAAATGGAAATTGCTAGGTTCTACCCATTGGGTTTGACCTCTCCTCCTGTCCTTGCTCCCTTTACCCCCTCCTGAGAGCCCATGCCTCACCTTTTGACTGCAGCTGGAGTTCCTTTGCAGCCATTGTTAATGGCACTCCTGTTTATTATCCCTGCTCTTGGACCATTCCACTGAGAGATTCCATTAGATTTTCCAGCCCTGAGGTGATGCTCTCCAATTACTCGTCTTGTGGGCTCCTGTGATTCTTGGCTACCTTTTTCCCACTGCTCTCTCCTCCCCCTTCCACCGTCTTGCCCTCTATAGTGTCTGATTATCAAGCCATCTCCCCCTGCCACCTTCATTAACCCTTTCTTCCCACTAAAAGGTTTTGTCAACCCTAATAGCTTTATCTTCTGTTCTCGTCTCTATTTCCCCAAACCAGACTTCGGTCCCACATAACAACAGATCCCACACAGGGGAGCATGGTATTTCCAGGCCAGAAGAGAACTGCCCCGCCTCAAAGCTCATGAGTCCATCCCCCTACTTACAGATAGGACAAAATCATTGCAAAGGGATGATGATAGCCAACCATGATGGCTCATGACCACAATGCAGAGGCTGGCAGATCTGTTGAGGTTTCTGAATCACAGACAGCTGAACCATATTCAGTGAAGCATTCATTTGGTGAGCCCCTAGGAATGGGAGGCCCCCACGATGCCTAAGGAAGAGTCAACCGGCCATTAAAGTTTCCATGATGGTCAGGCCCATGAGCAACTGCTATTCCTCTAGCAGATAGGGAGCAAAACAGGGATATCCAATCTTTATTAAAAAAAGAAACATGGCTGATGGCCTGGATACCCTGTTGTAGCAGAGAATATGCACTAGGTTTGGAATCAGAAAACTTGGATTTGATTTTCCACTGTATGGGCCTGAGCAAGTAATGTAACCTCTATGGACTTTTGTTCCCTTCACTATAAATACACCAGGTGACCTCGAAGGTCCCTCCCAGCTCTCTTGATCTGCTTCTAAAATATATACATAAATGGAACTGCCACAGCTCCCTCAGTGACCCATCATCATCATCAAACACATTCACCTATTGACCACCTGCTCTATGTAAGGCATTGTGCTAGCCTCTTTGGGAGTGGGAGAAGAGTTTAAGAAACAGCCCCTGCCCATAAGGAAACATCAATGAGGAGAAGGGATCCACACTTGTAAAACAAGAGTGTTGTTGAGCAGTATACATGTGATCAGTAGATGTTATGGGGTCACCTCAGGCTGGGCTTAGCAGGAAATGTTGCATGGAGGTGATGGCATGCTAGGGAGGAAGCTTGGACTGGGCAAAGATGCAAAGACAAGAAATTTCAGTTCAATCTAGCAATTTAATATCTACTGTGTGGAAGGTACTGTGTTAGATGCTAGGGTTACTAAGATGAAAAATGGCACAGTCCCTACCTTCAAGGAGATTACAGGAAACAATAAAAGTCAGATTTAGAGGATGGCAAGCAAAAAAGTTTGGCTAGAGTGTAAGAGTTTTGATTGGGAAGGGGAGGGGTGAAATTTGAGGGTCAGATTGTGAAAAGTATTTGAACGCAAACCAGCAAGAACAGCTTTGAAATTCCCAAACTGTTTTCTGGACAGTGTAGTCACTATAAAGTGGGACTACTTTGCATGAAAGGCAAGGAAGTCACCTTTTTAGCCATCTTACTCTTGCTAGCTATGGACTCCATTAACTCCAAGTTGGCCAGAGCCCAGAAAGGTCAAGGTTGTGGACTGTTAGCGTCACTCGGAGACTTTCATTCCATGGAATTCAATTCCACAAATGTTTGTTAGGTGAGAACCCTGTTACTGGGCTAGTTGTTCCATAAACGCATCTCATGGGGCTGAGGGAGGGAATGGATGACTCAGGGCAAACTTATCCTCACTGCTAAAAAATAACTCAGAGAACATGTGATGGGTTAATTACTAGATCTCGGTGCAGAATACCACTTCTGGGCTACAGAGACTGCATAGGAAAAAAAAGGAAAAGAGATTCACTTGGAAAAAAGTAGCAGTTTAGCCTGTAAGCTGAGGTAGATGTGTGACTCACCACTATACTATGGAAATTACTCATTCAACTGAATGAAGCTAAATGATCTGTAAGGTTTCTTCAAGATTTAGAACTCTAGGTCACACACCAACTGGTTCTCAGGTCCTAGAGTCACAGAATCTAGAGATGGATACAGCCTCAGAGCTCATCTACTCCAGAACAAAGATCTCCTTTCCAAACATCCCTAGCAAGCCATACCCAAGCCTCTGTTGAAGCCCTCCGGCACAATGGAGCCCATTGCCTCCCAAGGCTGCCTTCCATTTTGGAGAACCAGCTCTTTATGTATGTAACCGTTTACATATATTATCTCCTTTGATCTTCACCCATTGAGGTAGGTGCTATCATTCTTTATCTGCATTTTATAGATGAAGAAACTGAGCATGATAAAGGTTCAGTGACTTGCCCAGAGTCATACAGCTAGTAAGTATCTGAAGCCAATTTTGAACTTGGCTCTCCCTGACTCCAGGTCCTGCACTCTATCCACTGTACCACCTGAGCTCAAAGGGATGTCAAAGGCTGTGTAGTCCAACGCTCTCATTATACGGATAAACTTTGGTGAAGTGACTGGTCCAAGGTCACATGGGTAATAAGCATCAGAGATGAGATTTGAACCCAGGGCCTGAGCCCAGAGTTGGTGCTCCTCCCACTATGCCACACTGCTTCCTGGCTTCCTTTCCCATCCTCCCAGAAAAGCTGGATGCCCTTGGCTGAAGACCCATGAGTAACTTTATTCCCTCTCTTCTCCTCTACTGAGACTAAAGCACCAGCAGCCTGAGGGGGGAGGGCAGAGAGAGAGCCCAACCACAGCCCATTCTTATAATGAGTCATGATGCGAGAAGCCCCAAGGTAAATGTGCCCATAACTTACTGCCACGAGCCGCTCTGGCCTTTTTCTTGGCAGAGAGCTAGCAGTGGTGGTGAGCTGTACTCTGCCCTGCCGCCATCCTCAAGGCTCTCTCAATGTCGGTGTTGGGTTGGGGGACCCACTAGCCCTTTCCCCTTTCCCTGGGACCTTAATTTACTTGGATGTGTTCTGCTTTGCTCGTGGGTCTTCTCTGGGTCTGCTCTCCTGCCCCCTCCTGCCCCCTTCCTCCCCACTGGGAACAGAACTATTCACAATAACATTCCTTCCCAGCTGAACCACAGGCAGTAATGTTGTTCTGCCTGGGTGGGGTATGGATTATTGCTTCTTTTATTATTGTTTGCTTTAATTGTCCTGGAACCAACTGACGGCTAAGCACAAAATGGAGAGAGGCGGGGCTGCCTAATGGATAGAGCCTTGTTGGACTTAAAGTCAGGAGGACCCAGCTTCAAATTTTGCCTTAATGACCATGCGACCCTGGATGACTTGCTTAGCCTATGTAAGCCTCAGTTTTCCTCATCTATAAAATGGGTATAAGAATAGCCCCTGCCTCCTAGGGGTGCTGTGAGGATCGATGAGATGATAGCAAAGTGTTTTGCAAACCTTAAAGCAGGGTATAATATTCTCTTATGGGTCTTGTGGATGAATCAGAGCAAGAATCGGGCACCACTAGAGCGGTGAGGCCAGACCCGGTTGTGGGGGGAGGGCCAGGAACAGCCAGAAAGATGACAAGTCTGTTCTGAATATGTAGAACTGCTCTCCCATTATCCATCGTTCCATATTCTCTATTGGCTGCTTTGTTCCATTAGCTGGCCTAACTGAAACATGACTGTTTAATCCCTACCAAATCAGGGAGCCAAGAGAAATAGCTTAGGTGTATTTAGGAAGGCTCTTTTCAGGATCTCAGAACACCTCTGTGTGTGTGTGTGTGTACATTTATATGTATGTATATATATAGATAGATATAGATAGATATAGATATAGATATAGATAGATAGATAGATATAGATAGATATACATATATATATCCAGAAAGAGAAGTGTTTATTATATACTCACACATACATTAAATACATACATATAATTGTGTTGTTGAATCATTTTTATTCATCCCCAACTCTTCATACCCCATTTGGGGTTTTCTTGGCAAAGATACCGGGATAGGTTGCCATTTCCCTCTCCAGCCCATTTTACAGATGGAGAACTGAGGGGAAACAGGTTTAAGTGACTTGCCAGGGTCACTCAGCTAGTAATTGTCTAAGGGCAGATTTGAACTCAGGAAGATGAGTCCTCCTGACCCCAGGCGCAGCTCAGCTCTACTGAGCCTCCTCTCACTGATTCAGATTAGCAATTTGTCTATAATTTACTGTCTTGGAGAGTTGTCTGGGGCCCTGAGAATTATTACATGACTTTGAGGCCACTAAATGAGTAAGTGCAGTCTTAGTGATGGTCCAGGCTAAATTTAAAGTCATGAAGACCTGATTTCAAAACCTACCTCAGATCCTGACTAGCTGCATCTCCCTGGGCAA